TTTTTTAAAAAAAATGAAACCCCCTCCCCACATATATATAGAGCTCATCCTGAGGGGGGAGGGCCACCTGGGGGAAGGTCTCGACTTTTCCTCCTGCCCCGGCCTACCTCACGGGGCTGTTGTAGGAGGCAGCGAGGCCGGCCACCCTAGGGCGTCCGACCCTCCCCTCCAGGCCGCGGCAGGGCTGGGCAGGTTGGGCAGGGCCGGGCGCGAGCGTGGCTGGGGCGCAGGCCGCGGCCTCTTTCCCCGCCTCTTCCGAGAGCGGCCTGCCCGCCTGCCTGCCTGCCCGCCAGGCCCGCTCGTCGCCCCCGCGCGGCACGGAGGCTCCCCGAGGCTGCCCAGGCTCCCCTCGCCCGGCTCTCCCTCAGGGCGACGACGTTGCTTCCCCTTCCTCCCGCAGCCGGTGGGAGCGCGTCGCCGGGTGGCCCGTCCCGCGGCCAGCGCAGCTCCATGGGGCCGGCGGCGCGGCGGCGGCGGAGGGCGAAGGCGGCCGTCCAGACTCCTCGCCCCGCTCGCCGGCGGCGGCCGTGAGAGAGACCGAGAGACCGAGAGAGAGAGAGAGAGAGAGACAGAGAAGCGCCGCTCGCTTCGGACCCGCCGCCGCCGCCCCTCCTGACGGGCCTGCGGCTCCGGGCGGACGGAGGATGGCGGGGGCTCCGACCCAGCTGGAAGCCGGTGAGGAGGGACGGAAAGGAGTGTGCGGGGGGGAGTTGGGGGTCGTCTTGGGGGGGGGGGTCTTGTCCGGCCTGCACTGACCGCCTTTCTCCCTGCCTCGCCCGCAGAGCTCTACTACCTGATCGCCCGCTTCCTCCAGTCCGGACCCTGCAAGAAATCGGCTCAGGTGGGGGGTCTTGGGGATGGGGGTCTCGGGGGTGGGGGATGGAGAGGAAAAGATTGGGGTGCCCTTTGGGGCTGGGGTCGCGGACCCCCTTCCCTCCTCACCCCTTTGTCTGCCTCTTTCCTCTCCGCAGGTGCTGGTGGCCGAGCTGGAGGAGCACCAGGTAAGGGAGACTAAAAAATGGGATTGGGGAGGGGTCTTCCCGACTCCTTTTAAAGGAAGGAGGACTGAGGGGGGTCGTCCCGATGTGGGACCCCTGGGCTGAAGCTAATGGGGGGGGTGTCATCATTTCAGCCCCTTGGGAGTTATCCTTATGTGGGACCCTCCTGAACTTGGGTTTTATTCCTAATGGGAAGGGTCCCTAATCCAAGAAAGGGCCCTTCTTCTTCTTCTTGGGGTAGGTTTTTTATTTAGCAAAAGCTTCTATAAACAGAACAAGTTCCTCCCCCTCCCCCTCTTCTTCTTCTTCTTCTTCTTCTTCTTCTTCTTCTTCTTCTTCTTCTTCTTCTTCTTCTTCTTCTTCTTCTTCTTCTTCTTCTTCTTCT